CGGAGCTTGTAGTGAGCTGAGATCCGGCCATTGCACTCCAGCCTGGGCGACAGAGCGAGACTCCGTCTCAAAAAAAAAAAAAAAAGAAGTGTTTTTTGTTTTGTGGTTTTTGTGGTGGAGGGAGGGACAAGAGATAAGAGGTTGTTACCTGAGCAAAAACCTAGCTGGGCATGGTGGCATTTGCCTGTAATCCTAGCATTTTGGGAGGCTGAGGTGGAAAGATTGCTTTCTTTCCACCTGGGATGTGGGATCACAGATTCTATGCACAGATATGAATCATTAAGAGTTCAGAAGTTAAGCTCCCTTTAAGAAAACTCATGCTATTCTTTTTGGAGCAGAGGTTGCAGAATTGTGATCCCTAACAAAAATACTGTGTATAAAAGCTCCAAAACGAAGTATTAGCTTAAATTGGCAATACCACAACTTTATAACCAACTAAATCTTTACCGTGGCTATGCAACTTTTTGCTTTGTGGCCAGAAGTTTTTTTGGTTTCTGTGTTTTTGAGACACGCTGTCTGTCACCCACGCTGGAGTGCAGTAGCACAAACACGGCTCACTGCAGCCTCGACCTCCTGGACTCAAGCAATCCTCCCACCTCAGTCTCCTGGGTAGCTGGGACTACAGGCATGTGCCACCATGCTTGGCTATTATTATTATTATTATTATTTGTAAAGGTAGGGTCTCACTACATTCCCCAGACTGGTCTCAAACTCCTGGCTTCTAGCAATCCTCCCACCATGCCAGACCCTAGACTTAAAAAATTAGAATTGGCTGGATGTAGTGGCTTACGCCTATAATCCCAATACATTGGTAGGTTGAAGTGGGAGGATCACTTGAGCCCAGGAGCTGAAGACCAAGTTGGCCAACATAGTGAGAGACCCCATCTTTATTTTTTAAAAAAGTTAGAATTTATTGTGTTACTATAAGTGATTTGGAAAATTATACCTTTAGTTTAATTATTGGGGAATTATACTGTTAGTCTCTTACTCTTGTGTATGGAACTATGTCCCGAATCAAATTTATGTAGATCCTAAACACTGGTATGAGAATCTGATTAGTATTTGTCACACTGACTTAAAAATTGGCATCTCAGCTGGCGTGGTACTCACGCCTGTAATTTCAGCACTTTGGGAGGCCAAGATGGGAGGATCGCTGAGGTCAGGAATTCAAGACCAGCCTGGGCAACATGGTGAAACCCCATCTCTACAAAAAAATACAAAAATTAGCCGGGCAAGGTGTCTCACTACTGGCCCTGTAGTTCCGGCTAGTCAGGAAGCTGAGGTGGGAGGATTACTTGAGCCCAGAAGGTCAAGGCTGCAGTGAGCTGTGATTGTACCACTGCTCTCAGCCTGGGCTACAGGGCAAGACCCTGTCCCCAAAATAAATAAATAAATAAATTAGCATGTGAACGTTTCAAAGCTGTCAGTGTGTACTTGTTCAACCAATAGCTACTGCTTGATCCTTACAATTAAATTTTGTAACTAGCAACAACAAACAAAGTTAATAGATTCAAGAAGTATATAAAGAATCTTCTCATGACTGGAATTTTCCCCCTTTGATTGGTGAGGGACATAAACTGATCCAAAACTATGGCTTGATATATGTTTTTAAAATTACTACATTAGAAACAGCTATACTTTTTAAATTTTTATTGATTTACCACCTGATCAAAGCATGGGATATTTTAATAGTATTATACATAATATTTTTACATAGAAAACTTTACATAGCATTTCATATTATATAATTCTGCTTATTCTTTCAAAAATTTATACATCCATTGGGCAAGGAATGGTTTTCATTAAATTACCAATATTAAATGCACTTAATCATTGTGTATAGATTAAACCAAAGTAACTATTAACTAACTTTTAGGCATTTTAAGGAGGTAAAACATACATTTTGCACATAAATATTTGATGCAAATATGCAGATAAAATTTTTTAAAAATTAGAACACTGAGTAAAACAACACCTTTGATAGATTACATTGTTTTGTTTTGAGAGCAAGGATTTCCAGGTATGTTCATTCCTTAAAATACTCAGCTTTGGTTTCTTTGTTTCCCGAACTGCAAAGCTGCTGATAACAAAATTCCAAGATTTCATGTGAGTTCAGCTATGTCTACTTTAACAAAAATATTAAAACAAAATTTGGAAAATGCAGTATTAAGGATCCAGCTTCTATTGAAACCAATATCCATTTGCATCATAACAACAAACATCTGAATGAGATGGTCATACTTGTACTTATCAGCAGGTTCCTTTAATAACAAAGACTACTAAAGGTATATACCCTTAATCACAAAAGAACAACAAAAAAAAGTACAGGGTTTTTTTTTTTCTCATTTTGTACAAAAGTCATCTGTCAGAGGAAAATGTTGTGTTTCCAGATATTATAATACAATTTTCATAATGTATGTTCTTTGGTTGTACATAAGGAGTACAAGGAAAAGATATATTTGACTCTAAAGATGCGTATCAGAAATAAAAATTACCCATCCACTGTTTGTTGTTAAGATGCCAAAGCTGGTGATTTCCCTAACAGACAATGAAGAGAAACAAAATTGCTCAAAGCAGCAGTATTGTAACAAATAAAAACTTCTCGAGAGACCTAGCACATATAATCAACACTTAAAGCATTCTGAAAAAGAAATAAGGCCTTGGAAAATGTTTCACTCTCCTACATTACTCGGATAAATAAATGGTGTTCTGGCCTGATGCTGCAGTTGTACATACCCTTTCACTAGTGTTTGAGTGGCACAGGCCACATTTGCCATGAGAAAGAATAGATTTACTCATAAAAATGAATTTAGGCTGAATGGCTTATTATTGGAGGTAAGGGATTTCCTCTGTTCGTCACTGTCCACTGATAAGAAAAATTACCCTGAATGGTTTTACATCCAGTTTTTTAAAAGTCCATTGCTGGTACAATTCAAATGCCTCATTCAGAAAATTGATTCTTTTAAAATACTAAACTAATAAGAAATTTAAGCCGGAATGTCTTCAGCAAGTAATAAAATGCACTGACACATCTGCTACCCTGCAAGAGGCAAAATTAAAGAGAGGGCAGGAAGACACCGGAAAGATTTTAGTCACATTCGATGAAGAAAATGACATGAGAACCTCAGAAGGAAAGGAAAATAACCAATCAGGGATATAGCTGCATGCAAGATAAACTTAATGAATGAACATGTGTTCCCCATGTATACCTTTAGTACAAATACCAATGGAGGCAACTGACTTGTTGAGGTGGCAACGTGCTATGATACCAGGGAGCGTAGGTTTCACAGTGCAGTGGATTCCAGGGCAAGCCAGTCAAATGTGCCAACATTTTCCACTCACAATAAAGTATTCTCCCGTAGTCCTTTCCTGCTAAATTATATAGCTCCTTTTATCTAATGTATGTACGTCATGTAAAAACCTAAACTTGCTCATTTTTTCTTTGGTAGAGAAATTAAAAAACACTTTTTGGGAAAGAAAAAAGTAGATAAGAATTCTGCTGGCCAAAAACCAAACATTTCTCAAGGCTATTAAAACAAGAAAACAACTGAAGAATATCGGTCTCTTAGTAAGCAAAAGCACCAGAAATCCTTCTCTACAAAGAAAAAACATCCGATTTTACAGATAGGTTCCCAAACTACTAACTTCTAAGGCACCAGAGTTGACATCAATACAACCCAATTTACAGGACTAAAGAGCATAGGTAGACGTCTGAATGTTTTAATCACTCCGTGTAACACTTTGTCTAACGCTCAGCGATGCTCTAGGTGAGCAGTGGGTGAGGGCAGAGAATGAGGCGTGTGTGCTCCTTCTCATGGGTGAGCATCCATGTATATACTGTTCGCAGGTTCAGGTCGTACTTGTGTACTGCCCGCTTTTACACAAGCTGCATCAGAACTCAGTTCTACTGCAGGTGAGAGTATTGCACCATCATTAACATAATAAGGACCTCAGAATCTAACTTTGCCAAAGAATTCAACTCCTAGGCTCAGATTAATGGAAGTGCTGGGCACATGCTACCTCCTGCCATTGTCACAGTTCAGCTGTGCTGGCCCCGACACAGCTCCAGTTCCACTCATGACATGAGGCCAAGGAGGCTCACGGGAGCGGCTTCTTATGCACAGTTACTGTCCCTCTCTGGAGGGTCTAATGGGGACTGTGCAAAGCAGTGACACTAACTGCCAGTATACTCACTTTTCTGAGGTAAAAATAAAAAGGTTTATTCAAGGATAAATGAACTCTGGTTAAATTACTACTTCATTTTCATTACTACTTCATATATTAGATTTCAGAGTGTGTGAGACGGACAGTGTATTCTGGACATTTTAATTTAACACCCATCCACAAATACTTCAAGGAAGGCTAATAATCATCTTCATTAAATTGTTCACTTTTTCCTGTAGACTTTTTCTCCCCATGTTACTAAAACAGGGAGATCCACGAGGCACATTTTTTTAACCTCGCAAAACTCTTAATTCTAACTTAATTACTAAACTTCAACCAAATTTTCAGTATCTTTTTGTAAAATACTTTTAAAATCACTCAGACATTAACAAAACACACAAAAAAAACTCTTCTCTAATCCCAACCTGTCCCTAAACTAATCTAATTACGGCTGACTCATAACTGACAAAAACACTCAAATTTCTCTAACACACTCAAACAACAACAGAAAACCCAGCATATTTTAGGTGGCAGTTAGCCGTTACAAGAAGTTTTATTAACATACTCTCTAATAATCACAAACCTATACAGCTATGTTCAGTATTTTCAAGGAGAGTGACTTCTTCTTACAAAACGTTTATGGCCAATCATGGGATTTTGCTAGAAAATGATGGCATATGCAGTGACAGATTTGACAGTTTAATCAGAAAAATGGAATGATAGAGATGAAGCAGACTCCCCACCTACTGTGCTAACTGGGTATGCAACGGTTTAATGAAATACCATAAGCCTTAGTTGGGGACTGTGATGGAGCAGCGTAGAGGCCATCCGTATCCAGGTCATTCTGAGATCCAAGATGCCAACTCCTTGTTTCTATGACCCTTCACGAGATGTGCCAGTCAGAGATGGCATGCTGAACATTCCGCAGAGCTGCAGCAGTGGCCGGGGCGGCCAGGGCTACCACACTGGTGACAGTGCTGCTGGTACCTGTGATGGCTCTTCTGGAATCCATATCTTATACACAACACCTATCCGTAGGAAGAACTTCCGCAGAACTGCTCGGAGCTCAGGGATCAAGTCAAACTGCATAATTTCACACAAGTAGGGGTAGTACATTGAAGCATGTGCTTTGAACTTGAGGTGGGAGAGAAACAGATAAAATTAGACAGTTTTTCTGGGGGCCACCAGTTTTTCAGAAGTGTTAATCTCACCCTGAAACTTATTACAATATTGGTGCTTTGCTTGCTATTAGAAAGTTGGGGCCGGGCGCAGTGACTCACGTCTGTAATCCCAGCACCTGGGGAGGCCGAGGCAGGTGGATCGCTTGAGCTCAGGAATTTGAGACCAGCCTGGGCAACATGGTGAAAACCCGTCTCTACCAAAAATACAAAAACTTAGCCGGGCGTGGTGGCGTGTGTCTGTGGTCCCAGGTACTCAGAAGGCTGAGGTGGGAGGATGGCTTGAGCCTGGGAGGCAGAGGTTGCAGTGAGCTAGATCACGCCACTGCATTCCGGCCTGTATGACAAAGCAAGACTGTCTCAAAAAAAAAAAAAAGTTGAAAGAAAACCTTGCAAATTAAAGCTTCTTTCAGTTATATTTAACTTTAATTAAATTTGGATAGTCTTGCTGCCAAAAGTCAACAGCTCTTTTATTTTGTAAAGCAGGTTCCTAGGTCAAAACCAGTACTTCACAATCTTAACCCTCTTCCTGCACTGAAAATCACCATACTATTCCTAACAGCAACACATGAGGTCTAAATTTCAGCCTTTTCAACTAGGGTTCTTCCAGGGAAAAAGCCCTAATATCCTGTGGCACCCATTTTCTGTAATGAATTAATTTCTCTCCAATGCATCTAGAATGGTGCTAGTCATGTAACCATCCTTGGGAGAACTGAGAAAACAGTTACTGCAAACTCTTCAATGAAAAGCCAACCCAAACTTTATGTCCTAGTGGAAATGTCAGAGTTTACTTGTTCATACCTTTTCATCATTTATTTTGAGAGTTTTGGTTAGAAGTAACAACAGGAGACTTGTCCAGGCCTCCCGATGGCTTTCAGAATTCACGGTGATGAAATAGGCAAGAGCTTCACTGCAAACACTAGAAGAATTAGAGAGGTGAGGGCATATCGAACAATTGATTAACATCTCACATTCAGGGGAGAACTATTCATTCTTGTGCTATTTTTTAAATTCTTTTAACATGTTTTTTTAATTACTTTTTTTTTTGAGACAGGGTCTTGCTCTGCCACCCAAGCTGGAGTGCAGTGGTGTGACCATGATTCACTGTAGCCTGGACCTCCTCGGGCTCAAGCTGATCCTCCCACCTCGGCCTCCCAAGCAGCTAAGACTACATGCTTGCGCCACCACTCCTGGCTTTTTTGATTTTTAGGAGAGATGGGGTTTCACCATGTTGCTCAGGCTGGTCTTGAACTCCTGGGCTGAGCAATCTGCCTGCCTTGGTGTCCCAAAGTACTGGGATTATAGATGTAAGCTTGAGCCTCTGAGCTCAGCCACTGCAGTAACCATTGAGCACCCACTCTGGCTGTGCTATCTGGGGCAAATCACTGAGCCTTAGTTTCTTCAGCTATAAAATGGAGATAAAAAATTGGCCGGGTGCAGTGGCTCATGCCTATAATCCCAGCACTCTGGGAGGCCAACGCAGGCAGATCACTTGAAGCCAGGAGTTCGAGACCAGTCTGGCCAATGTAGCAAAACCCCATCTCTACTAAAAATAGAAAAATTAGTTGGGAGTGGTGGTGCATATCTGTAATCCCAGCTACTCAGATGGCTGAGGCACGAGAATCGCTTGAACTCGGGAGTTGGAGGTTGCAGTAAACTGAGATCATACCACTGTACTCCACCCTGGGCGACAGAGTGAGATTGTCTCAAAAAAAAAAAAAAAAGTTCAAACTCAAGGGGATGTTGTGAGGATTACATGAAATAAATATGTTAATGATAACTTGGCTCAGTCCTGGCACATGCCTAGGGCTGAACTCAATCAACGTCTGTAGTATAGGAGCTTATTACTCACAATTATATAACTGCCTTTCTCTCCTCACAATCACATTTAATTGCTTTTTTTAAAAAAAAATCATGTTATGCCAAAAACTTGACATTTACATATCTCTTTTTTTTATTTTGAGACAGAGTCTTGCTCTTGTTGCCCAGACCGGAGTGCAATGGCACAATCTTGGCTCTTTGCAACCTCCACCTGCTAGGTTCAAGTGATTCTCCTGTCTCAGCCTCCCGAGTAGCTGGGATTACAGGCACCCGCCACTACGCCTGGCTAATTTTTGTAATTTTAGTAGAGACAGGGCCATGTTGGCCAGGCTGGTCTGAAACTCCTGACCTTGTGATCCGCCTGGCTTGGCCTCCCAAAGTGCTGAGATTACAGGAGTGAGCCACCGCGCCTGGCCTTACATATCTCCTTTACAGAAACTTTATAAGACTGTAGGTATTTCTCTTTTGGGCTTAAGTTGAAATAAGCCATTAGTGCCTCCTTTAGTTAATTAATTCTCTTTTCACTATATGACTTGTTATTTATTCTCATTGTAAGGTAACTGATAAGTGTAAAAAATTATAAAAGAAAAAATTATAAAGAAGAAAAAAGTTACATCATTCTAAGGGATATATGACAATATTTTGGCAGATTTCCTTCCAGTTTTTTTTTTTTCTGCTAAGATTTCAAAAGAAAAATTGCTCACCTGTAGTCCCAGCTACTCAGGAGGCTGAGGCAGGAAGAGCTCATAAGCCCAGGAGTTCAAGACCAGCCTGGGCAACATAGCGAGACCCTGACTCTAAAAAACAAGTAAAACGCCCCAACTGCTGAAAATTGCGAGTAAAAACACTTTTGCAGCTTCTTTTTGGGAGTAAAATTTATTGTATTATGAACAAGTTCGCACATTAAGTAAAATTATTTCTTAAAAATTTCACTTTTAGGCCAGGCGCAGTGGCTCACACCTGTAATCCCTGCACTTTGGGAGGCCAAGGTGGG